AGTGGGAGCAAAAAAAAAAAAGAATCGTGAAATATAGGCGCTCCAGCCGATGGACGCGAGGGGCGATTTCTCCGGGGAGTTTGGAAAAATCTGCGAATCCAACGCGAAAAACACCGGTCGAAAAAAGTGCTCTCCCGCCGCTGCACCTGCCCCTTCCCCCTTCACTTTTATTTTATTTTTTTCATACTCCTGCCCGCCCCTGCCATCGCACAGTTTACATCAGGTAATCATTGTAATTGCGTCCAGCCCATCGCACGCGCCTCTGCACTGCTGCAGTCCCGATGCGTGTATATGTGTGTACCCGCTCCGAGTAAATTCTTGTATATAATGTGCATTGGGAAAAAAAAAAAAAAAAAAAATATTTCCAAACACATCCGAGTCATTTTATTATTTCATTACTCGACAAACAATTCCCACTTGGTTTCTAATGCGCTGAAAAGCACGTGTTTAAAGCACATGTAATCCGACTCTGTTCACATATACCCATAAACAGTACCTACTCAGTCAATTTCGACGTAAACGTATATGGATATGCATTTAAAAGCGTAAGGATCGCATGGGCTGCATATGTAAGTAATCGCCCTTTCATGCTGGAAAGCTTACATGTTGTACACGTATCGTTCTCCCCCCCCCCCTGCACCTATTTTGCAGCTCTCGCTTATTAGACTGATAATCGGACCGGCGGACATTACGGTCGTTACATTATATCGCGCTGGCTGCCATTGCCGTTGCCTTTCTCTCCTTTTCCCTCGCTATACCCACACTCGCGCCCATACCTATATATAATATATATATATACGTACGGGTACAAAACACTCCTATCCCGCGGCTGCAATGGCTGCAGTAGGTCTGTACGTATACACTCCCTTCCCCTTCCGAGCCGTTTGGCCGTTCTTTTGCTCGCTCGATCTCGTAATTCACTCGCAATTACCTTCGTAGAAGCGGATGCACGCTCGATAAAGCGAATCTCACAAACGAGATCTACAGGTATATTACGAGCACGTGAGCACCAGAGAGGCCAGGATTATTAATTTTCCCGTGAATGACTTTTCGACAACGCACGTTATTGACGTTGTCCCAAACCGGCTCTCTTTTGTCCTTTTATTTCACGTTTAGTGATTATACCTATATGACATAGGTGCCGTACACGACATGTTTTGTATATATAGGCACGTATGTAGATACTGCGATAGGTAAAAGTGCAACGCGAGATCGCATCTTTTGCTCGCCCTCCTCTTCTTCTTCAATATATACATGTTCATTTAGTTCAGTGTGCAAAAGCAGTAGGTAGGTATGCCGATTCACAGCCCATATAATGCAATACATAATAATGTACAGCCACCTCCTCTCTGCGGCAAACCATAGTGGCAGGGAGCATCGTTACACGCGGATCGCTGCTGCAGCTTGTACTTTTTTTCGCAAATTTCGTGGTCTCTCCTCCGACGGCTGCTGTGGTACCGATGGCCGGGGCACGCGTGTTGCCGCACAATTTTTTTGCTCCACTCCCCCCCACCAATGTTTCATACTTGCTCTTTCGTCTTTTTACTTTCTCTGTTGCAAGATGTTTGTACCACTAGTATTGTGTATCGGTACACCATAAGTATTTTGATGGAGGAGATCGATGCAATCGAACTATACTGTGTTTTTTATTTTATCACTTGATAATTCTCAATTTTTTTCTGGTAATATATATAATATATATTAGTTCTACTACGAGTATCTGAAGCAGGAACAAATTAATAATGTTTTTTTTTGATAATGTATACGTTTTGTTCAAAGATTAATTTACTTTTGCGTTGAAATAAAAATTTCAGCAGCCCCGTATTGTTTTTAAGCCATGAAAATGTAGATACGTCAGGCGAACCACGTATATACTGCAGGGAGGCCAATGAAATAAAAATAAGCGACGACAAGAGCTGCGGACATGGCATGTATAGACATTTGGTCGGCTTGGGTTACTCAATAAAACAAGAAACCAGCCCCTGGCGTGTATATATACGCGGCGGTAGATCAATCATTAACTATTCACACACGATGAAATAATTTATTTTCGGCGGTTCCGTTAAATTTGATATTCCCCTCTGTGGGATCCGAATTAACGACAATATTTAGCCCCGTTTACGCTTCGCCATCGATTGTTTCGTCTACATATTTAATAAAATAAGAAAAAGAAAAAAAAATTAGTCAGCTAGTCATCATCATTTGACGATTTATTCACTACGTGAGAGAGAGAGAGAGAATAGCCTAAATCCGTTGACCCAGTGAGCTTGAGACGTAACCTTTGTTGCTCTAGGACCATCATCTAATTGGCAAGCGTAGCTCGCTTCGTTGTGGTGCATGACTCAAGTTGAAATAATAGTCGCGCAGTGACGAAATCTCCTCCAGTCTGGTGCACTCTTTAACTCGGTGACTTCCAACAACAACCAAGTCTCACTGCAGAGAGAAAAAAGGGGGGGGG